CAACAGGTGGGACGAGGTCACTGGGAAGGAGAGAGGAGTCGGGAGGCGGAAGACATAAGCGGGGACTCAATAACCTTCACCAGGGATGGCATTGCAGAGGGTCAATGGCTGATTTCAAAGTTCCCAAACCCACTCACCAAGGATGATGACATCGAGCATTTCCTCACAACTTTTGAGAGGATTGCAGCAGCTTGTCGCTGGCAAGCAGATGAATGTTAGTGCCTTTAGTGACTGGTAAAGCACAGAGTGCCTATGTGGCAATGGACATTACTGACACTTGTAATTATGACTATGTAAAGAGGGCCATACTGAAGAAGTTTCAATGCGGGCGCTTCGGTCCACGTACATCAACCTGATGAGGCGCCCGGAGCTGTGTGTGCGACTAAAAGAGCTGTTTTCAAAATGGGCCAAGCCAGAGCAGCGCACTGTTCAAGAAATCTCAGAACTCCTAATCTTGGAGCAGTTCATGCGAATGGTGAGCCCAGAGATGGAGGTTTGGATCCGTGAGCATGATCCGAAAACTGCTTGGGAGGCAGCGGACTTAGCAAAGTATTCATCTCCGCTAGGAAGGAGCCAGAGGGGCGGCTGTGAATGGTGGAAGCAAGGGCCCAAGAAGTCTGTTGGGGGTGTTGTGGGAGGGAAGAAAAAACAGACTTTCCACATTAATCTGTTAAAGGAGTTTCGTTCCAGGCAGGAGCCAGTGAAGACCCAGCTATTTGTTCGGGCAGTGGGTGACGAGGAGGAGCCAGCAGAACAGTATTTCCCCACAAACAGCCAGCCGCAGCCACTGGATTTATCCCACCTCAATCCCCAGCAGAGGGAGCAACTGCAAGATCTACTGGACCCTGAGCTGTTTCAAGAGAAGCCTGGCTACATTACTCTGATAAAACATCATGTACACCTCAAGGAAGACGCACCGGCAAGGCAGAAATCCTACAGGATTCCAGAGCTTCTCCCTGTGCTACAGCAAGAGCTGGAAACCATGCAGTCCCTGGGAGTGATCGAACCCTCGGAAAGTGAGTGGTGCAGTCCCATTGTGCTCGTCCCCAAAAAGGATGGATCCATCCGATTCTGCGTGGATTTCCGTCAGGTGAATGCCCTGTCAAACTTTGACCCGTTTTCCCATGCCACGCATAGATGAGTTGGTCAAAGGCTGGGGAAGGCCAGATATATTTCCACGTTGGACTTGAGCAAGGGCTACTGGCAAAAAACCATTGGCAGAGGAGACTAGGAAGCTCCGGGACCCCCCTTGGGGTTGTTCCATTCAACTTATGCCGTTTGGCCTGCAGGGGGCACCGCAACCTTCCAGCGCTTGATGGATAAGGTGCTGGGACACCAGAGACTTTTCTGCGGCTTACCTGGATGATGTGGTCATCTTCAGCACAACATGGGAAGATCATCTAGACCACGTCGTCAGGTACTGCAGCAAATTTAGTTCTCACCATCAATCCCCAGAAATGTGCTTTGGCCAAAAGGAGGTTAAATACTTGGGATTTGTAATTGGTGATGGGGTCATCCGGCCTCAACTAGAGAAGGTTGAGGCGATTCGGTCCCTGGAAGGTGAGAGCATTCTTGGGCTTGGTGGGGTGGTATAGAAAATTCATTCCTAACTTTTTCCACTCGAGCTGCTGTTTTAACAGATCTCACCAGGAACAGTGCACCAACCAAAGTATTATGGACCGAAAAGCTGTGACCGGGTGTTCCAGGACCTGAAGGAGGCGCTGTGCCGAGACACAGTATTGCAGAGCCGGACTTCAGCAAACCATTCATTCTGCAGACTGATGCCTCTGGTGTGGGGCTAGGAGCTGTTCTACTGCAGGGTGAGGAGGAGAGCGCAAACCCATTGCTTTCCTGAGCAGAAAAGATGTTTCCCAGGGAGACTAGATACTCGACAGTGGAGAAAGAGTGTCTTGCCGTAAAGTGGGCGCTGGACTCTCTCCGCTACTTCCTCCTTGGAGCGTCACTTCACGCTGGAGACAGACCATTTACAATGGCTGCATCGGATGCGTGACTCAATGCCGCGATCACACGGTGGTACCTGTCCATCCAGCCATTTAACTTCACTGTGTGCTACAGGACTGGGTCCACCAACCAGGTGGCAGACTTCCTGTCTCGCATGCCGGAGGACTCTTAAACTGGCATGAAGATTGGAGTGGATGGCTGGGGCTGCAGACCGCTTTCTCCGACTGCAGAAGGGGAGGAAATGTAACGGAGCTGCTGGCCCGTTACTGAGACTGTGGTGATTATTGAACTCTGTCGGAAAATGTCGCCTCCCTGTCATTCTGCGCCTGTGACTGCTGTTGTAAGTCGGCGAAAGTTGGGACAAGCGTCTTTTTAATATAATGGCATGCATGTGAACGTGTAGAGCTAAGTTTTTAAAAACTGTTTTAACTTTGCGCTCACCATTAGCTTGGCCAACTAATGGGAGGGGGCGAAGCTATGGTCAAAACAACATCTAGCCACAGTTTTACTTTGTTCCAAATGTTTTAATGCGATGCTAAAGCAGAGGAAAAAAGCGCTTGCTACCGGTTTGTTTGGTCAGACAGCGGGATGGTGATTGCCGGGGTGGACGGGAAACCAAACAGAGCACTCGTACACCAGTGCATATGTAAGCAGTAAACTGTGGGGTGGAACATTCCAGTTCAGGGAATGAGTAGAAAATGCTGTAAATTACTCGGTCTGATGCAATAATAATTGTTTATGTTTTTGATGCTTGAAATACTACTATTTGTATGTATGTCCAAATGAATACTTAAATTATAAGTACCGTGCTGTATAGTGGATGGCAAATGTTTTGGTTTCTCCCCATTAAGGGAAAAAAAAGTATTTAAAGGGCTGCTATGCATTCAGTTGGGGTTGGTTGGGTGGAAGGTTGGTTCTGCTGTGTTTTTTAAAGATGGGGAATTATTGGACCCATTGAAAAAAAAATGGGCCGGTTATTTGTTTTTATTTATTTATTTTTTTCCCTTAAAAGTCTATCTTAGTTTTTTTTCTTTTTGATTGCTTGCACTGTAAATAGCCCTCACCCTCCCCTGCACCTCTGGGAAAAATAAAATACAATTTTTGCACATATTTTGGTTTGGTTGACTCCATTTTTGGATTTAGACCTTGGCTGCTTCGGGTTCCCCCTACAGAGGGGTTGTCTTCCCTATATAAAGGCATGATAAAAGCCACACAAAAAACATTTTTAAGTGTCATAATGCCACGTCTGTCCACTGAACAACGAACAGGGCCCTGGGTATGCTAGAGGCGGGAGTAAGTGCCCGGCAAGTTGATCAGTACGTTTTGGGGGTAGTACGTCCAACTGGGACGAGCTCTTTCATCAAGAGTACCCAGACCTCAAACCAGGCAGAAACTCCAGAATGCACTACAGGCAGAGTGGCGACAACTTCCCCAAGACAACCTAAGACGCTTAGTCAGGTCCATGAGGAGACGTTGTACTGCCTGTGTGGATGTTCGTGAGGGTCACACCCGATACTGACTGTTCTTTTGAGTTCATTTTTAAATGTGTGTTCCGTTCAGTCTTGTTGTGATTTTTCATTTTCAACTTGTGCTCGTTATGTTTAATGCATCTGTTTATTATTGTCCAAATCGGCCCATTAACACATTTAATTCATCAAAGTCAACTCACCCAACATATTTGAATTGTTAAAATAAGAAAATAAATTTGAGTCACAAAATTATTTGAATCCAAACTGGTGTTGCGTTTTCATTGCCTCTGAGTATAGATACCAGTTGAATAGCTGGTATGTAACTGTTGAGTACGAATAGAATTGTATTTAAATGATTTGCAGAGTGAATGACTTGCTGTAGAGTGGGAGGAACATTAATACACATCGTGCAAGAATCACCTTGAGTGATTGCTGAAGAAACGATGATGATCTGCTGGCGGAGATAATAGTACATTCAGCTATTTCATATGGGCTGTTGAGCTGACACCATGCTTGTTTCTCTGGAAGTGAGAATGAATGACTACACTTTCATGCCATGAAAACAATGCAGTTTGCCTTGAATTAGAGGCTGAGTCTATTCCATAGGTGGTCATATTACTCACAGGCAGCTAAGAGCCTATTTTGGAGAAAGATGAACCATTATGTCTTTCCATTAATCTTTATGAATGTTGTGCAGATCCATCATGTTGTGCATTGTCATGTTTTGTTTTTTGAGCGCAAGTAACGACCGAGACCTGATGCAAAATAAATGTGATCCGCAATATTTTCTGCAATGTACAATTTAGCTCTTTTGCTGATGTGGCTAGTCAGACCGACAGTGCACTAGATAATAAATGGTAAACCGATCAAAAATATTAATGTAAGAAATAACAGCAAGGCCTGTGATATTGAGGCAGAAAATATGTTATTTATTAAATTCTTAACGGGTGAGTCCATTTTTTCCTCGGACAGCGGCCTAGCCTTTCTGACCTTACTGCGCATAAAAAACGTCCGACGTTAATTGAACTCGGAAGCTGTATAAAAATATTATGGATCCTATTGGGACAGTAAGTAACATTGCACTGGATTTTATTTTGTTGGCGCTATCTGAAGTAGAATCAATGAAAACTAAAGGTAAAAATTGCCTGCTTTTGGTCACTGTAAATTCAGCCTTGGCTTATCATCAGAGAGAGGACACTTTTATCTGAAAGTGAAATCACTAAGTGCCAATTGCTAATCTGGGTGCTGCGAGCAGGGTTTGAGTTGAGATCTGCGTCTGGTAGATAAAGCCAATGCAGGTTAATAAAGATGAAATGAAGTACTGCCCATTTCTGAGCAGAAAGCACTGTGGTGGTGTCATCGTAACATTCTATGGTTAAATTTATTTTACTGGCATTAAAAGTTGACGTTTTCATAATATGAGCAAGGCAATCTAATAGGCCTATTTTATTTGACTGAATTACGTTTATATTTGAATATATCTTTCCAGCCAGCTGCGGTAGGAAACACAGCCTCTGCTTTTTAATCTGTATGTCCACACCTAAAGCTGATTTTGATTTATAGTAAGAACGCTGCAAGCAGGGTTCGAACCTGTGCGGGGAGACCCCAGTGGATTTCATATCCAACGCCTTAACCAGTCGGCCATCACAGCATAATAACCATGTTTCCTGGGGCTCTTACAAACTGGCTTTTCCGAAAACCTGATGTTTGGCCATCTTTCCTCAGTGACTGGAATTCAGTAGATGAACACATATTATGCCACAAACAGGGCTGCCAACTTTAGTGGCATATTCACATTCCTGTGCTGTAGTCAGCAATTAATTCAATCAACGCAATGCATGTGTTTCACGATCGTTCAAATTGTTTAAATGAAATAAGACCATTTGAAATGTTTTTATGCAATTCCATTGCTTCCAACCCCTGAGTAAAAAAAACCGTGAGAGGTCCGGAGTCATAATTGATTTCCATGTTACTAGTGGTGAAATCCACCGTAACGCATGTGAAACTGATTGACCTCCATGCACAAGGACTTCAGTTTCGCCTGAGAATCTCTTACAAACGGGCTGATTGAGTAATTGCTGACTACAGCACGGGAACGTGAATATGCCACTTAAACTCAGGCCGAATGTGTGAAAGTTGGCGACCCTGCGCAGACCTGGTGATGAGATTGACATTTTGACATTTTGCCCAGTAAAAACTAAATATATGCATCGTTTTTGCCCGGCAGGAGGCTGGAAATTTGGAATTTCGTTAAAGCAGTCTCGTGACAACACCCTTACTGAAAGGCTTCGAGCAAGGCCCAAACCTGAGGAGAGGTCTTAAAATTCCCACAAGGCATATTTTTAGTCCCCACAAATATAGATGAACATGTACACACACACGCACACACACACACACACACACACACACACACACACACACAATATCTTCTTGGCCTTTGATAAAGGTGCTTTCTAACTCATATCAAAGTGAATGCATTGCCCTCAGTTCAAATCAATGAGGGAAAGAGTAAAACTCGCACAGTGCGCAGCCCACACAAGTTCCTCTTGTGGTGTGTTGCCCAGGCTGCTTCCTGTTCAGACAGGAAGTGCCGGCAGACACAAGTTTCTATAAGAAAATAGAGTGATGTGTCATTCTGTTGCAATAGTTTCGCTGTTGTGTGTTGTTTGGGATTTTGAATTCTTCTGATATAGAAGCAATGTCCTGGAATACGCAAAACCTTGGCGCACGACTCGGCCTTGGGGTAAGTGACAGTTCAGCCTCTGTTTACTTGGTGCCCTGAGACCATCTGGTTTGTAGCCTTTTCCAAAAAAACCAAAAAAAAAAAAAAAAAAAACAGGTACACTGCAGTCCGTTTAGAGGAAACCATTACCATCCGCCCGTTAGGAATCTCAGTTACAGCCAGATTACCAAATGTTCACATTTTATATTAATGAAATGATAATATAAAATGATACTAATAACATGATTGAATGCAACTTTATTTTAGACGTTAGATAAATCTGTGAAGATTATGTTTAGTTTACTAGTTTGACTCATTGGAACTCTCACACCTTTTGTACACTGTATACTTTTATTTAAAGTGAATACTCACGTTTTGGCTACAAACCTGTATGTCAGTACTTCAAAGGACCTAATATTGACTGATTTTGACCTTTCCATTGTAGTTGTCACCTGACTACCGATTAATTCAGAACTGCTGGTCACTGTCATGTTATGATAGCGCAAATGGGATTTGAGATACATATATCAAGCACATAACTTTCAAATGCCCAGCAATTTCATTAAGCTGTTTATGAGTAATAAAAAAAATATTTCATACTTTTGATTCTGGGTGTATCATTCAACAGCACCACAGAATCATGCCAAAGTAATGCTGCATAGAGTGTATTCAGTGTCATAAATCTGCAAATGCTAATTTAAAATGCATGTTTGCCAGTATTCCTGATCTTGCATTCCATACTTATGAACTACTCATCATAAATTAATAGAATCAAATTTTCAGAGTTTATCAATCAGGTGGAAAATCCTTTTTTTTCTCTAAAAGACCTTCCCAAAAAAATGTTTTTTCCATTCTTATTTAGTGATTCAGATATGGAGTATAACTGGTACAGATGTTTTTTTTCTGCTGCTAATTGTGGGAAAAAAAAACTCATTTAACCCAAATCTGTCAAAGAAATTTTACTGAAAAAAGGCTTTCAGTAAGTAGTCGTATTTGATTGAAGTGACTTAAATGAAATGAAAAAATAAACACCATTGGTGCTGTTGGACTTTACCCTTTCCATTGTGGCGGGCTCTGCTAAGACTTTACCTGGTCAGAACACACAAAGTGAGGTTTAAACCGGCATGGAAGGACGCCAGTGGATTTTACGTTCAAAACTCTTACGACTGGGCCATCATGGCCTCATATTTACATGGGGCTTTGGTCCATTGTGAATTGCCTTAAGCCCTTCAGAACTGACCTGTGAACCCTTAGTAATCAAATGGATTTTGTATTATTCATGCTAAAAATTTCAGTTCGTCACACACAAAATTTGAAACAACAATGTGTATGTGTACTGATCTGGTCACTCACAATTTGTCTCCCTGGGTTGAGTTTTTTTATTATTATTTTCTATTTAAATCCCAAATTACTAAGAATTATACAAAACATTAAGTATTCCTTTGACTACCTCAGAAGTAGATAACTCAAAGAGTAAGAGTCCTGATTAATATTTTAACAACCTTTAATGATGTGACAGTCGGCACAAGTCTCAACAGATGGCTTCTCGGGTCACATTATTATTTAAATGGTTATTATGGTGCTTCACAGATCCGCAGAGTTCCAGTTCATTTTATTTACTGTTGTGTCACTAAGCCATTCAATGTAAAATATGCAGTCCATATGTTTTATTTTTCCATTTTTCAGGCATAGAAATGTTTTCTGCAAGATGCACGAATGGATTAACTGGCTCCTGTGAACTGTGGTTATATGGAAAGGTTTTCATCAAAGGCAGCTTTCATCTAAGTCTTCTGTCATTGTTATCTTCACCAAGGAGGTTATGTTTTTGCTGGCGATGGTTTTCCTGTCTGTCTGTTTGTGTGCAAGATAACTCAAATAGTAATGCACGGATATCTATGAAACTTCAAATCAGGGATGGGTCCTATTGATTTTGACCGCGATCGGTCAAACAATATGGTCACCACAGCAACTATCTCGAAATCCTATGTTGCAGATACCTTAAATTTCTATGAGCCACGTTCACTCTGCAAGACTTCGACTCAGAGTGCCTAGAGTTTGCTTTTTTTTTTTTTGCAAAATACTTAATAAATTTGCCCTCTAAGCAAATCCACGCACGGGTTAAATGCTTGCTTTGCAAAGCAATATGTTTAGTTCTCGGTGCGATTTTGGCCGACTGAAAGTAGGTCAGGCATACTGTCCGTGCTCCAAAAACTGAAGCTAACAGTAACCCAAAGTTTGCATGAGGAAGAGACACAATGATGCTGTGATGATTTTTCCTAAGTTCACAAGTTTTTATCTTACATAATGTTTTTCGCACCCTTTCATTATAAGACTTTATCGTATGAATCTGTATATAGTGTGCGCAATTTTGGGTTCATGTTAATGTCATACCCTGTTAGCACTCCTGTTTACAGATCATTAAAAGTGCCATTCATAGATTAGTTTTACTTTTTTAGGGTGGTGACCTTGACTGCTAAAAAAAGGTCTCTATTTTAGGACATCCTCAACCGCCAGTAAACCAGCTAAAACTGGTTTCATTTTATTCTTCTGCAAGTCTAGTTTTCAGAAAATGATGCTTTAGTTGCAGCCAATGTGTGCAACATGGCAAATTAACCCCTTTCTTGCAGACATCCACTAAAAATATTCGGCCCAAGGAAAGAGGTCGGGTGAATTGAAATAACTATTAATTTGAATCCAGTGGGCTATGTACGTATATATTTTTTAAATTTAATTGGTAATGGAGATCAAAAGAGGTCAAATAATAATATTCTTTCAATATAAATACCAGATGGTCAATCTTCATTTAAATAATTTGAAATCAGCATGCCATGAAACAATCCTAATGAACTGAGCAATGATTATTTGATTGGTTAAAAAAAACACCTTTATCAGACAGATGAAAAAATGTTACCTTGAGAAATTCTTGCTTCAGTTGTTGATTTTTTTAAAACTCTACTTAACCAGGGAAATTCCAATGAGAACATATTTCCCTTTTTCAAGGATGCCCTGGGAGAAATTTTGAATAAAACAGCTGCAAGTGAGACAGAGAGAGACAGGAGTGGAGCCCCTGGAGCAATTTGTGGTAAAGGGCCTTGCTCAAGGGCCCAAGGGCAGAGTTCTTCCCAAGTTCATCTCTCTAGATCAGGGGTCATAAAATCCAGTCCTCGAGGTCCAAAAACGGCCGGTTTTCCACCCTCCCTTTACCTGGAAGTCTGGTGTCATGACATTCTGGCCAATCAGAAGCCGTTACTGTTTGGTTCATTAGTTAATTACCTGGAAGAAATGGAAAAACAGGGCCGGATTTAGAGATCCCTGCTCTAGATCAAGTAAGAATTCCAACCTACTAGTAGACTACCTTGCCACCACAATGATACAGCCAACTTTGAGCAAAATGACTGGACGGTAGATGGAAAGCGCACTACCCTCGCAGCAGTAACGTGCCGTTGGAGGTCAGTTAGGGTAGGCAGAATCCTCATCGTTAAACAAACGATAACTCTATTACTTTGCTTGATTAGCAATCTGAGGATTGATCAACTAATTTACAAGAATAAAAGGCAGAATGGCGTGCCAGTTCCATCCACGACATTATTGCTGAGTGCAACGAACTTAAAATGCTCACGAGACAGCAAGTTTGTTCATATTTGCTTAGAGGAAACTAACGCGATGCCACAAACAAATATTAAAACCTTTCTTATGCGGCGTTCAATGTGTGGTCAATATGTTTCCGATAATATTTCCCCCCTTAAACACGTACTTTTTAATGCCATTTTAAAAAAAAAATAGGGAGTTTATTTCAGTCTTATTTCATTATCCGATAAACAAAAGATCAAAACAATATATGGAATTAACGAGAGAGTTGAGATTTTTTCCTAATTAATTATTAAGATTTACTTCCTTGCAATCTCGAATCACAGCATAAAGGTAAATTA